GCCCGCAAAGCTTGTTTTTTTTGTTTGGAGGGACAAATTTTTTTTATGGCGGAGTGTAAATTTTTTTTGTGTTCAAAATGTGATTTTTTTTGCGTAAAACTAACTGTTTTTTTTATCCCTGGAGCAAAATTTTTTTTCGATTCTATTGAAAATTTTTTTTTGGTTCAACTGAAGATTTTTTTTCTATGTAGGGGAGCATTTTTTTTCGGAATTAAGAAATCTTTTTTTTCCAGGTTCGTTTTGCTTTTTTTTCTTATCTTACTTTATTTTTTTTTTATACACCTGATTTTTTTTTTTTAATGCATTGACTTTTTTTTTTTTTTTACATTTAATTGTTTTTTTTTAGATTACATTAAACATTTTTTTTATGTGAAGTATTTACTTTTTTTTGATGGTGGCATAAACTTTTTTTTAAAGAAAGCCCAACTTTTTTTTTTTGACAACGAAGAGCTTTTTTTTACTGAAAGCTTCCCTTTTTTTTTTTTTGTATGTAACTTTTTTTTTTTACCAAAAATAACATTTTTTTTTGTCTGGAAATTCATGTTTTTTTTGGTAGAGTGTAAGAATTTTTTTTCTACTGCAAAGCCTCTTTTTTTTGGTTTTAATTTCTATTTTTTTTTACATGTWSTCTATGTTTTTTTTTTACTTGAACACGGGATTTTTTTTATAAAAAGTCAGGTTTTTTTTTTAATGAAGAAAACCAATTTTTTTTCATGCTTCCTTGTTATTTTTTTTTTTGGTAGGGTTTTATTTTTTTTCTGTAGATGTCCTGCTTTTTTTTATGGGAGATGCAATCTTTTTTTTTCAACATTGTTTGCTTTTTTTTTATATTGCAAAGAGAGTTTTTTTTTAAAGCAAACCCCAGTTTTTTTTGATGAATYGTGCACTTTTTTTTTCTGTAGGTGGAATGTTTTTTTTTAAAGAAAAGGTCCTATTTTTTTTATCAACCAAATGAACTTTTTTTTACATGATTACGCAAATTTTTTTTAAGTACCCAAGGTAATTTTTTTTACAGCAGCAAGTGCATTTTTTTTAAGTGTTGGAATTGATTTTTTTTCTAAAATTCTAAATCTTTTTTTTGAATATGAAAGCACGTTTTTTTTTTGTGTTTCATGGACTTTTTTTTTACCTCAGGAAGTACTTTTTTTTGTTAAGAAGCCTCTGTTTTTTTTTATCAAAGACCATCCTTTTTTTTCAGCAGAGCCTACAGTTTTTTTTACAAAGGCTAAAAGGTTTTTTTTTATTGGACAGTCTGATTTTTTTTATATTGAATCACAAATTTTTTTTCAATCAAACACTGAATTTTTTTTTCAACATCGAGAGCCTTTTTTTTCTGCTACAAAGTGTTTTTTTTTTGCTGTACAAAAGATCTTTTTTTTACCAACAAAAACTATTTTTTTTTTACTTGGATATGACATTTTTTTTCCAAGCAAGGCAATGTTTTTTTTTTTGAAAAAGGAAGATTTTTTTTTTGAAGACTACAAAATTTTTTTTCAAAACCAGCTAGGATTTTTTTTAGTCACAGTTGCTAATTTTTTTTTTTTTGTATCTAAAATTTTTTTTTTCCTTGGTGCAAGTTTTTTTTTCATAGTTCATGACCCTTTTTTTTCTGACACTGAAGGGCTTTTTTTTATCAAATACATTCAATTTTTTTTTGAAGAAACACTTGATTTTTTTTTAGTGCGCAAAGGTATTTTTTTTAAGAACAGTGACATTTTTTTTTTGAATGAAAGACATAATTTTTTTTACCAAGTACAGCAACTTTTTTTTGTAACTGAACGAAAGTTTTTTTTCTTTGTTGTAAAGGGTTTTTTTTGTAGCTCACTGTTTTTTTTTTTTGTGCATTTTTGTAAATTTTTTTTGGAATCAGTMTTACCTTTTTTTTAAGCATTTTTTGATATTTTTTTTGTCCCAGAACTTGTTTTTTTTTTAGTGAAATTCGGATTTTTTTTTTTAGATGCTCGTTCACTTTTTTTTAATTTGGRAAATTTCTTTTTTTTGATAACCCACAACAATTTTTTTTATTCATATTTGAAACTTTTTTTTAAATCACATGTCAATTTTTTTTTTTACATAATTAATTATTTTTTTTGTTTATTACAGTGTGTTTTTTTTTATAATCTGCTGTGATTTTTTTTACTATGAATTAAAATTTTTTTTTCCTCACTTTTATAAATTTTTTTTTACATTACAGTGTTATTTTTTTTCAATACCAGTTATCCTTTTTTTTGTAAAATTCAAGTGATTTTTTTTGGATGAAAATTAGAGTTTTTTTTCTAGAGTCCACTCACTTTTTTTTGTATATCTGATGATATTTTTTTTATTGTAATGGGTATTTTTTTTTTAAAGATGTGCCAATTTTTTTTTTTTTCCATTAACCTCTTTTTTTTTACTCGTAGACTTGCATTTTTTTTGTTGTGATTTGTCTCTTTTTTTTAGAACTGTGTGTTTTTTTTTTTTAATGATGGCCTTATGTTTTTTTTTCCTACAGATACTAGTTTTTTTTAACAGTTGAAACCCTTTTTTTTTATTACCATATCACCATTTTTTTTTTTGTCTAGGAAACCTTTTTTTTCAGTAATCTCTTTATTTTTTTTTGATCCTGGGAACAGGTTTTTTTTAAAACACAATGCACCTTTTTTTTTTATGCCTAGCAAAGTTTTTTTTGTGGTTCTGGACTTATTTTTTTTGTAGCATGCAGATTGTTTTTTTTGAGATGATGGCTTTTTTTTTTTTAATTCTGTGCAATCTTTTTTTTTTGCACATTTAGGGTATTTTTTTTTGAAAACCTCAGGCATTTTTTTTTTGATGACTGGTCGTTTTTTTTTTCTAATTAGTGGTTCTTTTTTTTCCCTCATACATTTTATTTTTTTTTTTGTAATCTTAGATTTTTTTTTTCTTGAAATATTGAATTTTTTTTCTAGATCCTTTTCAATTTTTTTTAGCCTTAGCCTCATATTTTTTTTYGTAAACTCCTGCCATTTTTTTTGGCTTCGAGGTCGTCTTTTTTTTCCAGTGCTAACTCTATTTTTTTTATACACAATATTGTTTTTTTTTTCTTCAACAACTTTAATTTTTTTTAACATTGCATTGAAATTTTTTTTACCTGTATAAAACGCTTTTTTTTCGTTACTGTGTTTATTTTTTTTTATGTCAAAGCGAACGTTTTTTTTTGAGTGTCTTAATCTTTTTTTTTCTCCTTCAAGCTTCTTTTTTTTTTCGAGCAATTTCGCATTTTTTTTTTTCAATTTTTCGATTTTTTTTTGTAGCTTGGTCTTTTTTTTTTTTAATTTATCAATGTTATTTTTTTTACTTTGAAAATCTTTTTTTTTTTAATTAATGTCGATATTTTTTTTTGATGATTGAGCTTGGTTTTTTTTGTGTTCGTTATGTTGTTTTTTTTCTTTCTGCGACTGTTTTTTTTTTTGTTGTTGCCTTTTTTTTTTTTTCGCTTCCTCTGCGGCTTTTTTTTNCTACATCCCGCGTGTTTTGATCAGAGTATCAAACACGGAATTCCGTCTTTTATTTCTTTTCTAAAATTAAAAGAATAAAAGAAATTTTTGACGCGCGCGAGCGTGTTTTGATACTGTAATCAAACATGGTTTTCGACCAATCACAGCGCGCGTAGTATCCTAAATATTTTAGAAAACAATTTTACTTGGCAATCTCATTTGTTCAATAAAAGCATATTTAATTTGGAAATGTCAAACTAATATACAAGCAACGCAAGCTAAGAGAAAGAAATATATTGTAACGTGACAATAAAATAAGGCATGTGATTTTGTTTGCGTCGATAGTTGACAAAACCCCTACACCTCCTCCTTTCGCTACAMCAAGTTATCTTAATTCATTCACTAGAGTTACTAAGACTACAATTTATTATTTATAGCTTGCGCGCGCTATTTGAATTTCGCGCGCTTTACGTGTTACATCCCTTTTCTACAATTCAAAACAATTTCGCTATGCTTAAAGTGGAATACGTGAAGCGCACAACATTGTGGCAGGAGTGTCTTCCTGCCTACCTAATGAACGAACAACGAGCCATRCAACGCATTCTCAACAGGGTGGGACACAAGACAAAAAACTGACGAGAAATGTTTCTTTTGTAAACTTGTTCACACTACGACTCAATGCGACATAAGGATAAGCAGAAGAAGCTGATTTTGTAAGTGTGAATCGAAAATATTACAGAAGATATAGAAAACAACAAAACGAAATGAAAACTTTCCTTCTGTTGCTGTTGTTGCTTCTGGAGCAACACATAAACAGATACTCATCCTTACGTCGGTATGAACCAACTTACGTTTGTGCTTATGTCATGTTGTGAACCGGTCTACATGTTGCAGTATCGATACACTAATCCTATAACTGCCAGTGCAAGCCCTACAGTTTGGACTTCTCATTTTCACTCAATTCAACCACTAAACCGGGTTTGTTTGCCAAAGTTTGGGCATGACGTTTGAACACGCTTACTGTTGGTTCGTCAAAGTTTGTAAAGCGTACACAAGTTAGTGAAGTGTTCTCTTCAGAGCTGAGAAAGTCTATTGCGACAGTAAAAAGAATCTTTGCACACAGGTCTTTTGGAAAGCCAAAAATCCCACTGCTAATTGCTGGCAATGCGACACTTCCAAACTGGTTTTGATTGCATGCTTTGAGAGAATTCAGCACTGCATTATGTAGATCTTTCTCCTCGCCTTTACTGCCTCCATCCCATATTGGMCCTGAATACCAAAACAAATATGACTGAAAAGGTTATGGAAAGAGAACGGGAGGATGAAAACGAAAGAGATGGGAATGAAAGCTTTATGGAACAAAGCCGGAAGCTTTTGGCATTCATTTGAGAGCAAAACGTAAAAGTCAGTTAGAAACTTTGGTGTGAACAAGCAACACATTCTGTAACATTAAAAAGCCTTACCAACAGCATGTATGATAGCTTTACAAGGAAGATTCCCTGCTTTTGTTATTGCTACTTCACCAGTCGGTACTGCACCATGCTTGGCAATGTAGTTATCGCTCTCTTGTTGAATTGAAATACCACCACGCCTTACGATTGCACCTGCAACCTTGAACAGAAAAAAAGTATGTGAAGGTTTTTACCAATGAAAATCAAAATTAAGAAATAGAAAGGATGGGAGGAAAAACGAAAAAAATGGAAGGAAGAAACAAGAGGTAACAAACTAACAGGGAAGGTAAAATAGGGAGAGGAGGAAAGAAAATGACAGAAAGGAAGACAAGGAAAGAAGGAAGGAGAGTTGGAAAAGTGGGGAAAACGACAAACAAGAATGGATTTATAAATGAAAGGAAGGAAAAAAATAATAAAACAAAGGAAGGGATGCAGTTACCTACCCCTCCCCTGTGCTGTAGATGCCCATTTGCTGCATTCACAATGGCATCAACTTTCTCTTGTGTGAGATCACCCATGACAACTAAAACAAGGAAAGATATTATTTTGATCAAAACTCAATGTTATTTCAAGGATTTCTTCCAATAGTCTTGTTTATTGTTCTTATGATGTTTTAAAATCCCATCCATTCCGAACCGTAAGCAAGCAGTAAGAATCGGAGGGACACTTTCAGATTGGCTTCCACTGAAAGGAGGTGTGCCCCAAGGGACCAAACCAGGGGTGATCCTCTTCATGGTTATGACAAATAAATTGTTACAGTTGTGTAAAAAGATAAATTTAACACCGTAAAAAAGTATGTGAAATAACTTACTGATGTTTYGGACGTTAATCCTTCGTTGGAGTAAAAGTGATGAAACTAGGTAAAGGGTGAGTTTATATAGTAATAAATTGTTATCTGACTGTCAGCTGCACATTAAATACGTTGATGACACTAGTGCCCTAGAAATAATCCCAAGGAACTCTATAAGTTTGCTTTAACACTGTGGCATCAGATATACACAAATTTGCAAAATCTCACAACATGAGACTGAATCCAGCTAAGTGTAAAGAGATGCGTATTAATTTCTTGCATAATAGTAACTGTCTTATTAACTCCATTATATTAGGTGCCGATGTTATTGAATGTGTAAACACCTATAAAAATCCTTGGTGTCATAACAGCCACGTCGAACACATTACCAAGAAGGCTTGTAAGAAATTGTATGCGCTTATCATCTTCTACCCAGACCAGCACTTAACGAATCAAAATATAATCTAAGGAGGAACTTGCCAAAGTTTTACCTGTACAATTCTGTGTCGCAATGCAGAACTAAGAGAATGGAGAGCTTTTTTACATTCCGATACTTTTATTAGCCATATAAATTATATAGTTTTAATAATTTGTAAATAGCAATTTTATCCTTTATACTAGAATTTGTAATTATTACTTGTTAATTCAGTTCCCAACTGCAAGAGAGTACTAATAAACTATTATTATTATTATTATTATTATTATTCATCTATTCCAATCTTATTCATTGAAGTTCAAATAATTCCAGTGGCTGCATGCCTCCTGACCTTTTTTATTTCTTGATAAAATATCTTTAAATGTCTGGATGGGCACAACATAAAAACTATCTAGCTCTTGAATCAAAATGTCTATCAATAAATGACCAGCATTTGTCAATGATTATCAAGGGGAGAAATCTGGAGAACCCTGGGTTATCCGGAAGAGTTGTCAGCTATGGGTGACTCGTCAGTTTTATTCAGCCTGTGTCAGGAAGCCCAAATGCTGCTAATGACTTATACAAATGAGACTCCTATAAATTTTGATTCTTAAAAGCCAAAGCAACCGTAAATTGCTCTGTCAGTCTGTCGGTAATGCTTCCGATTGCAATAAGTAAATCATCATATCATGATTTTATTGACAGTTAATTTCAGTAATTGATACCTTGGATTATGCCCACTATTTCTTGTGTAGGTACACCTTGATGCTTCTTCCTCTCAACAGAAACAGTTGCTACAACAGGCAGCTATATGAAAGTAAGGAGCTTGCTTAACTTTGTAATTTTATTGGTTATTCTAATGATGTTTAATATCCTACAAATGAAGCTATTCCTGACAGCACTGGAATTTTCAGAACAGTAAATAGTTTTGCTTCTATTAATTTTATAACTTTCACTGAATGATAACAAAAATCTTGTTGTTTTAAACAGTGTGTACAGGGTGGATACAGGAACATCAGTTTTGTATGTATAATTCTTTAGAAATAGATATGACCTTTTAAATTTTTAAGCAAAATAGAGGGTTGAAATCCACCCAATACACTCCAACCCCTGCCCCCCTCCCCTCCTTCCTTGCCCTTCTTCTGCACCTGACATAACCAGAAGAATGGGCACAAACATAAGCACATCTTCATTTTTTGAAGCACGATGTTGAATTAGGGACGGTCCATTTAGCTTTTGAGGGGGGGGGGATGATTTCTTGTGAGCAAGATTTTTTTTTCTTTGTGGCTTTTGGGTAGGGTATATATTTTTTCTCTTGGTGGTATGTAGGATTTGTTTTCTTCTTGTAACATTTTTTTGTGGGCTTAGGGTGGTGCAAGATTTTTTTTAGGTCCATATGTTGTGCACGATTTTTATTTTTGATGAAGATGGTTTGCAGGATTTTTTTTCAAAATCATCCCCCCCCCCCTCAAAAGTTAAATGGACCGTCCCTTACACATCATGGAAGTACAATAAAAACAAATCAGCTCATTTGTGGCAGCTATTCACTGCTATGTAATGGTTTATAATGCACTATACTAGTCACATAGTTGTTAAGTTCGACATTTTCATTGTATTGGAGCTTCAACTGCAGTTTTAAATCTTTGCTGCAATAACGTAACTAATCACTTTGTGAATCCATTTTTTAAAACCATTAGGCATCATTTATAGATTCCTATTTAGAAGTGCACAAGATCTTACAATCAAGCAATACCAAGTGCAGATTCGTGATATCGCAGAGACTTTATGATAATAAAAAAAAGCTAAATCTTCAACATACTTTCATTTTCGTTTCTTAGAAAATCCCGGAAGTGTATTCATGTTTTGTTTTTAAGTCAGTACAAGTCACCAACACGACGATATCAGAATCACCTTGTTTCTAGTAAGGCCTAAATATTTTACCTTGCTTGAGGAGTTGGATGTCAGAGTTCTGTTTAAGAAAAATGCACTAGCAACTTGAAAAGTTCTAGTGAAAGCGGCTCCCAAACGCTTCATTTTGCAATTCATGGCAGCGTCTCCCTGTCTGTATTTTGGGCTTCCTGTGTTTCTGAGTACGGGTTTCCTGTGGTTTTGGCTTTCGTTTGCGTCGAAGTCAGCGTCGAAGTCCCAAAAATTCTTCAGAAAACGCTTTTTTCGAGCCACTACCATTTATTTGCGGAAGGTATTTATATATTCTACAACTAAAGGACCCAGGTAAATTATATTTTAGTAGAAATGTGCCGAAATGTGCCATTTTGGATGTCAAATCAAGTGCATTTTTTATTCGCGCGCTTCCTCAAATTTTCAAAATGGCGGACGTGAAACGATTTACTATGTTTTTATTTAAACTAATAGAGTTTCTGCTTTGGCTGGAAGTCGTTAAGCAGTTATCAAGTTTCATTGGTTGCGTGTGAAGGACAAGCCTTGGAGGTAAGCTGGTTCTTTTAAACATTAAAATGTTTTCTAATCCTTAYCCCCCAAACCCCCTTATCGGCTTTCACCACGCGAAAAATCCGGAGAAGTGAAAAAATCAGGGTTCATTTGGTTTCAACCGCAACTTGTTTTACCGCAAAATCCATCCTATCCTCATTGAAAAAACATATAAAGCGACGAAAACGCATCAATTTTCCAAAAAAATTCTCGACTAAGCACTTAGTCAATTTGTACTGCGCATGTCCGCGGCACGCTCGCGCCGAGCGCGCACTGTTTTGGCGCCAATTTGCCACAGTCGATGTCAATGCATGGATATTAGAGTTAACTAAAGTGTTCAAATTTGGCGGCATGGATTTTCGAAAGGAGACCGAGACTTAGCACAAGTGAGTCAAAAACCAATTCTAAATCATTTAAATATACCGTACCATCATTTCTGGGAGTTTGAGCAAACGTGTTTTAAGCTTATTTGTAGAGAAATTGTCGCCTAATGAGCCATCTCGTCTTAACAGAAAACTTCAAAACTTGCTCAAATTTGTCATATGTCCTTTGAAAAATTACAAAACCATTTATGTGTAATCAAATGAATATAACCGTTGTCAAGGCTTATAAATATGATTTCTTTTCAAATATTTTTTTGGAGAAGCAGTTGAAAATCAACTGTTTTTCTAACTTTTGTCTCAGCTGAGCCGTATAGACTCAAGAAATCGTACTGAAAGTGGCTGAAAGCAATATCATTCTGGCACTTTGTACAAAGAGAATGATGCCAAATGTTTTGTAATTTCTAGTCAATCAATACCATGAAAACTTCTTTAAATGACCTACCTTGAATGCCAGRTGAGGTCTCAATGACCATCAAACTTCACGAGCATGCCATCAACATATGGTGCAGAAATACTGCAACCTTGCTCTTTAGACCATTTYTTTCGAGCCAGAACTAAACGTTTTAAACGTTGAAATGCAGTTTGATCTTAGGAGGCGAAAAAACTCTGGTTTGGAATATTTTAATTCGTGTTATAGCTATGCTGTCCATACTGAGACATCAATACCCCTGGTTTTAAACAGAAATATTGCAGGCAAAAAGGGCTAATGAACTCTTATGTATGAGTCAATTCCAAAGGTGCCCATCCCCCCCCCCCCGGGCAAACCCCGGGCATTTGACTGACTTTACCTCCGTACAGTGGGGAATTTGACTCTGATTTAGGAGCAGACGGGCGGGCATTTGACGAGTAGGCGACCATCTTGGAAATTATCGATTCGATTCATATGCGAAACTGCTATTTCGTGACACAATACGAACTTTTAAGCTTAAGTTAAAAATAAAAATATCTCGGGAACCTAAGCATTTTAATAATAATAATACGTATTATTTATATAGCGCCGATATCCTTACAGTTCAAAGGCGCTTCACATGATCACGGATCGCTATTAGCAGCCACGAGGCTTACAATCATTTTTGGGAACATTCTCGATCTTTTGTACTTTCACGTTGAGAAATCACGATATACAAAAAGCAACAAAAACACTCGAAAACGAGCGTAAAAAACTGACTTATGGGGCGGGCATTTGACCACTCATTTGCTTTTACTAGTGGGAATTTGACTGTCAATTTTGCCCATATGGTGGGGAATTTGACCAATTTTTTTCCAAACAGTCAAATGCCCGGGGGTTCGCCCGGGGGGGGATGGGCACCTTTGGAATTGACTCATACATTATTTCCATTCTATAATATCCTTCCTTCCACATTTTTGCAAATATCTTTYCGCATTTATTCTTTCTTATTGTTCCGATTCCTATGTTCGTTTTTCCTTCAGCAGTAAAAGTAGCAGTTGAGGGTTCTCATGACATTGTAAAATGGTTACTAAGCTAATAATACATTCATTAGTCGATTGAAACCGCGTTCCCC